TTGGGGCCAGTTGAAGTGGTAGACGTAGTGTGGCGTTGTATTATTATTCGTTTTCATTCCTTTGTGAGTTTGTTAATTAAGAACACCCATCCGGATTGCTTATACTCATTCAAAAAAAAATTAAAAAAATCGCATTACATTTAATGATGTATGATTTTTTTCATCATGGAATTATAGGGACTGATGGTTCTGGGTTCGAATCCTGTGAGTAGTAGGAGTCGTGGATTCTGCACCACTGATGAGTTGTTCCATACTAAGACTGAACAATGGCCCATCATCAGATGCTTTCAGGTTTCCAATGGTGTGGTCTAACAATAGTTGATTCATGATTTCAGTGAAAAATTTTTTAAATTTTTTTATTCATACAGAAGTAATGAGAGTATTCTGTTTTGTTTTTTTTTTAAAATTGAAAATCTGTTTTTATTTTATCAAAAATTCACTTTGTCATTTGTTTATTTATTTATATTTATGCTCAATAGTTTTGTTTTTTCGTATTCAGGTTCAATTGAATAATTGTTTTGTTTAATCAACTAGAAAGTGTGATTGATTTATTGCACAAAAAATAAAGTTTAATAATAATAATAATAATAATAGCTGTTATCTACCTATCTGTCTTTTAGTTTAGAATGATGAATTAGGAGTACAAATGAGCTAGCTAACTTGACTACAGACACACACACATAGACTCATATGTATGAGGATTGTTGAAAACCAATGAAATACACTAACAGATTGTTGTTTCCATAAACCATTACTGATCATGATGTGATTTTTTTTCTGTTATTGCACAAGTACGGACAATCAAACTAAACACATGGTATCGTTCTATGAAGTTCATGAACAGTGTGTGTTCTAAGCCCATACATGGTTGGTTGGTATAGACTATTCGGTTTAAGGTTTATATGATTATAATTGCTGAACAACTCCTTGAGCAATAATGCTAAATTGACTTTCAGAAATGTTAACTGAGGTCAGACCACTATTAGAAACCTGAAAAACACTAGCTGACGGCCGTTTCGTCCTAGTAAAGGACTCTACAGCGGTGCTCATGATCGACTCATTGTTTCAAATGAAAAACAACAGTCTCCATGTCTATCTCATGAATAGCATAGAATATGCTCATTAGTGATTAGCTTCGTGAGGAAATCCTCGAAGTTCTTTAGTGAGAAGTTGTGATCAATAGAGTTCAACCCTGTCGGGCTTGGTTGCGCAAAACCTTTCAGTGATCAGTGGTTAAAAGGTTTCATTAGAGGGTTTTGGATGGTCGTATATGAAAACTGCTGAAGAACTCCATACTAGGATAAAATAGCCGTCGTCCAGTGCTTCCAGGTTTCTTTCTTATAGTGGTCTAACAATGATCAGTTCATGATTCTAAATGGAAAATAACAATCTCCATATCTATCTAGTGAATTATTAAAGTTTAGGGTTAACAAAGCATTAACAATTATTATGAGCAAATAAGATTCACTGTTAGTAGTTGTTAAACTTTTCATCCTCACCTAAGACATCAGTTATAATTTTTAAAAATATAATTTTACTTTGTGGCGAATAATAAATTGTATGATCGGTTCATCACTGATACTGAGTTTTTAAAATCATGTTTTTTTTGTGTACAGGAATTCATCCTTTCTTCTCTTAAACGATATTATTTATCCTTGATTCCTTTCTTATTACCAGTAATACTATAATACGATTTCTCTACTAGCCTTGAGTTGATCTTGATAAAATAACCTCGTTTTGTTCAAATCTGATGTAGCAACTTAAACCAATAATAATAATAATAATGGCTTTATGTTATGTACAAAATGAAATTCTTAGCACGGAATATTTCAACAAATTTTCTTTTCAATACATACTGCTAGTCACTACGATATCTTGAAATGTACTTTTTTCTACACCGTATAAATACAGGATATGGGTTGCTCAGACATATCAAGCACATTTATGCTAGGTTATACATGCTGTAGTGAACGAGAACACAGGTGGGGCAACCGAATTGTATTTAACAAAAATTACAGAGTTACTCAGTAAAATAGGAAAACCATATCGTAAATCGTTCATTTGCAAAATATCAGTCCATCATATAGAACTGGACTGTTCCTGTTGCAAAACATCAATCCATTGTCACTATTCATGCGTTTCATACAAATTCCATTGTTTTCTAACTCTTCCTTTCTTGATCTTCCTCCCATCTTCGGCTGCCAGACGCTCACGTCATATACTACTTATAAGTAGCTCACACGACAATGCTACCGAATGACTAACTGAGTGATTTTTAAACTGAATTACTTTTCTTCGTTATCAAATTAACACCAATAACATTATTCATCCTAATTGTGGTGTAGTGGAATTATTTACTTTCGTTACACTGAATCATAATACATATTGGTTTTGTTTCGATTTTTCAATTATCATATTGTGATTATTTTTAAAACTGACAACAAATTGTTGCATATTCATGTTTACACACACACACACACACACACACAGCCCAACTTATTCTACTTCTTCTATATCGTCGTATCATTTGACATTTTCTTCTTGTTTTTTTTATCTATATTTTTCTTCTCAGAGCCTGGTCACCAGATTTAATTGATAAACATCATTGTGCATGTTTTCCATCACCGAATCAAACAGATTTTCAAACATTATCTACAATGTATGAAACACATCCACTGACACATGTTCCATTAGTTGGATTCAATTCGACTTTTGAAGCAGAATCTGTAGAAGATTTTGTTGGAGTAAGTTTGCATAAGGGAGGGGGGTGGATTTTTTTTTTAATATTATATTTATTATTTACAATGTGGTACTGTTAGTGGGTGAGTCGTTCCTCTTTTATCATCTACATTAAAAAATCGGTAACTTAGTATTTTAAAGGTTATCGACTTCTATCCAAAAAGTTGCAGGTTTGAAACCCGTTCCAACTACTTTGGTTTTGGTAATCGGATAGTACCATTCCACCCCTCACACCTAGTACCCAAGTACATGAATCTGTACCTGGTAAATTAGATAAATATACTATATTTTACAATTTACAATGTTGTACTTCTTATGAATGAATGCATATTTCTAAGAAATAAAGGTTCGTGTTATTCATGTAATCAGTTGTTTGTTAACTTTGAGCATTTAAAGATCAGCATCACGCAATCAAATTCTGATGAATTGTATGAAGACGTTTTCCTAACAGTTTTTTAGTTAAACGAAGGTCCACCAGATGATAGTAACTGATGGTTAGGGACCCTGAATGACATGGCTCAAGATTGTTTGCAATGGCGCAGGTGTATCCACTCTTTGTCTACACCCGAATTCTAATCTCAATTTCTCAGAACCGTCATCTTTCCTTTCTTAAATTTATTTCACTAGATTATATATACTCCTTGAATGACATCTTCAAACCCTAATCTGTTCGTTTACTGTTCATACTTCTACTACATCTACCACTATGGGAGTTAAATTGACAAATGTGTCTCTGTGCTAATGTGGTATGGCAACTTGAACATTTATTATCAAGTTATATATTTTGAACAGATTAAAGTTAGATATATACACCATTGGATGCCGACTCGGTGGTGGTCTAAAAGTCAAGCGTTGTTCACGCACCAAAACCAAAGGCTTTAAAAGTACGATTTATTGAAGTTATCGGTTTGTGAATATACACTGCAAATTAGTCGCGTTCAAAAAAATAAACAGCTTTTGATGACTTTCTGGCGTTAAATAATGTGGTCTAACTAAGATCATCTTCTGATTTTGAACTAAGAAGCGAAAAAAAATCAACCAAATAGCTAGTTTTAAAATTTCAATCATCAAGAATACTGCGCAACAGATGTAAATAATTATCATACGATAAATTCCTTCCAGTAATTTCCACCTTAAACTGTTAATTCTGAAAACATTGTTATATTTTTGTACAAGTTTGTGACTATCTGAACTAAATAACTAAATGCCTAACAACAATTCGATAAATTTTTACAGCAAAATGACTTGAGCTTGTTGTTGTTTCAATTCCAAAACACAGAATGAAATATGTTTCCACTGGTTTTCAATGTTTAGTCACAATCTAACTATTTATATGTGTTTATTTATTACAATATTCTTATATTAAATCAACTTTGTTTTCTTTTATCTTTCGTCCCTCTCTCTCTCTCTCTATTTTCATCTAATACTTAGAAATCAATTGATTGGGAAGTAATTTCACGTGGTCGTTACTCTTGGAAATCACAAGAATATCAAGATTTATGTGTACAGTTGAATGGTACATGGATAGGCAAAAGTTGTCGATCATTTTATGTACCAGATGTGTTCTTCTTTTCATGTATCCTATTTTTAGCAACATTTATATTAGCTTATACAATGAAATCAATGCGAAATTCATTATTCTTTCCTACTCGTGTAAGTGAAATTTGAGATGGTTTTGAGAGAGAGAAAAAATTGGGGAGTGTGTTATACGAGGCATTATTTGATGAATGGGTCTTTGTTTTCTTTTTTAATTTTTTTTTAATCATGTCTTGTTTGTTTGAAGTGGTTTTTTGGAATTTCTCTTTTCATCATCTTTTTTTTTCAAAATCAAAATATATATCCAATTTTTAACATAATTTAAATCAACAACTGATCTTAACTGGAAAAACCAGTGAAAACATGGAAGCACTAGGACGGCCTTGAAACAGTTATCCAGGCAATGGATAAGAGCTAAACAACATCATGAATTGATTAGAGCTAGTATACCATTCGATCCCTGCTCGTTGGTCGGCAAATTACACGCAAGACCATAGATCCTGGACTCAATCTTCAATGATGCAGTGATGTGTGCGCATTGTCGATAAGTCTCATACTGGGACGAACCAGCCGTTTTATTTCCTTCCAGATTTTTAATGCTGGTTTAGCTAAGATCAAATTATGTTCTAAATTATGAACATTTTACGTATTTTATTGAATAAGCAAGTAAACGCTGAAAGTATCTAGTCGCTGTTGATATTCAAGACTGAAATGTCATATGTCTCTGTTGGCTTAGATCTCATCTTGTTCAAGTTTTCTCAATATATTCATTGTATCACAATTTTATCAAATAGATGGATTGTACGTAGCTGTGAAATCTAATCGTAGCATATATGATGAAACGATAATGTACTATGAACGTCCTTTGAGTAATGCCGATATGACCTCTGAGAATATTCACTCACCAAGGTGAACGAATAAAGTTGATAAGTTAGTGTGACAAATTAAGAATAAGATTTAAAAGCTAGATGTGTAAACGTGAGGTATAAGAGTTTTTTCATCACGAACTGACATCAGTTATCATGCCAAAATGTTATATAACTATCTGGGTCAATTAATTCCGTGCTAAAATTCAAGACTTATTATCTTAAATTTGATTGGCTCATCATCTATAAACTATAGTCTCCTGACAAATATATATCTTTGTATCAACAAATTACCCAAGATAATTGAACCCATTAATAAGAATGAATATACAAGTATTAGACCTCAACTATCTAAAGTTAGTAGTAGTATAGTGTGAATAACATCTTGAGCGTTTAAATCGATGGTTAGTGGTGTACGGGATGTAAGTTCTATTGTGATATCATCATCAAAACACCGATGTATCCAAAGAACTAATCTAAAGCTGGATGAACCATAGCTATTATTTATTTCTTTATCATAAAATTATTTGTCTTCCTCTTATCTCATCTCATTGATCAATTTGAATAAAACAAAATAAAAACAGCAAGTATAGAAGTAGTAGTGAGAAGACTGAGGCAGGCGCGAAAACATTACATTGAACACTTTATTTGCACACCATCTTTGAGTCCTTAATTCCAACGCTCCAGCCTTCTTCCATTCCTGCTGTTGTTTCCTTTACTTCCTGTTGGTACTCCATTTACTTCTTGCTTTTGGTCCATTTGCTTTCCGTTTTCCTCTTGTGACCGTGAGACTTCTTTCATGTCCCTTCTTATACTACTTATATCGTTCATATAAGTAGCACACACCACAGTAGTATAAGGTAGAAGAAATCCATGTCATTTTGTATATTCTTGTAAACTGGCTAAACACAACTCATGCATGACCAGTAATAATAATTATTCATAAGTTAATGACAGCGATGACAACAGCAACAACAGTTATGAAGGAATGATCGAGTGGCCAAAGCGAATGAAGATTTGTGTGTGTGTGTGAGTTATCGAACAATGAATAATCATATCAAATGCTACGTTATAACAACCGTGAAAATTTAGTAGATTAAACAGAGTAAGATAAGTGAAGATTTAAAATTAAAAAGATGTTACATAATTGATTGTCAGAGATTTACAATTGTTTGCACTTTCGCTAAATCCATTAGCTCCAGAGTAGCGTTTAAAGTTATCCCTTGTTTTTTTAGATAACAATGAATTCGGCATAGCAGACGTATACCTCGCCTATGCCATAAGTGGCCGCCGTTGCGCCCCCCCCCCCGTTGCGTTGTTTGTCTCCCTGGGGCCCTTTTGTTCGCCCCCCCCGCCTGCCGCTCCTTGCTGCCCCCCTTTTCCCCCCCCCACCCATTGTGATATGCCTTTTATTGCTTCCTCCTTTTTGTCGCTTCGTTTCTCCTGTCGGTTGTGCCTTGGGCCCCTCCCTCCCCGCTTTTTCTTTTTTGCCTTCTCGTGCTCCTTCGTCCTCCCCCCTGCCTTGTAGTTTTTTTCTCCTGTCTCCGCCT